TCGTAAAACCCACACGTACCCCACACTGTCGTGCGCCACTTGTACTCCCTGTATTAATGGATTTTTCTTTTCATTTTAAATACCCTTTTTTTTTTCATCGCCTCTTTTATTCCGCGGCATTTTTTTTTATCTCCACCGCCCTCGCCACTCGCAACCGGTAAATGAGCTTTTAATTTTTTCACTGCGCCAGTTTTGCAAGACATTATTGCATTTTTTTTTCATCAGGAATTTTACTCGGGTATTAATTGTAACTGTTTTTTCGGATCGATTAATCTCATGAAGGAAAAAATATTAGTATTATATTATATTTATTATTATTGGTTTTTGATTTTAATAGAATAATTTTTCCACTGAAAATTCATCATTTAAGTTGCAAATTTATGGAAATTGATGAATAATTCTTCATTGATGAAATAAATTATATGATAATATTGGAGTCATCATATTTTTATTAATAATTAAATTATAATAATGTAATAATAATAATAATATTTGCAAATCGGTGAAAACCATATAGTGACAATAAAATTCCTGTCGAATGAGGGGATCCGGTTGTCGCTGAAAGACCGCAAGAAATTCCTGCAATTTAATGGAATTCTCTGATTGGTACTTGATATATCCCTCTCCCCCCCCCTCCCCCTGCATCGTCATTGAGAAAATATCGAATATACCACTCACGTAGCAAAGAGCCATTTATAAAGAATCGAGATTTGCTGGTTCTTCCAGGTAAAAATTCAAGCGACTGTAATCCTCGGAATATTGATAATAAATAATGCGTTTTATGCAACAAGTGCAAGCGAGGGGGAATGAAATAGAAAGTCAGGGGAAATCTACTCTGAAAATCAATGATTTCATCCATTAGAGATAAAAAATTATTCAATCCAATTTAACAAATTTCGTAATTTCGAGATGATGAAATATTATTTTCATCATTTGATTTTCAATTTCACTCCCTCTCCCTTTTTAAACAAATCCGAATAATTTCCATGTTAATTTAATTATCATTAATTTGTAAACATCTGTAAATACATTTTTGAATAAATAAAAAATTTCTATTAATTTTTAAAATGTGATTTGAAAAATCTGTGGGGGATTTGTAAACAAAAAAAATAGACGAGATTATAAATAATTAATGATAACAAAATAATAATCCGAAAAAGCATAAATAACCAGAATTTTTATAGGCCGGGGTTAATTAGTGTCAGTGAAAAAAAGATAACTAAAAAAATGGGAACGATAAGACCTCTGGAGGATCAAGACACGCCACAGGTATCCCTTCGGATGTATAGTAACAACGTGCCAGAGATACAGAACCCCGCAATTACACTGGAATAATCCTTTGGCACGAGATCCAAGTAAGAATTCGAGTGAGGACGGAACAAAGAATTTAAGAAAAAAAAAAACACGCGTCTTATCTAATCGCCTCGCTATTGGATCCGCCGTCCAAACGAAAACGGTCATTACGCCTTTTTAACATCTTCTCCTGAAAAATATATCCAATACATACATGTATATATATAAATATAATATCGATGAATTAAACATATTTTTATTCATTTGAAAATTAATGAATTGTATTTTTTGTGAAATTTATATTTTTATAAAATTATTATAAAAGATTCGATCGGTATTTGAAATATTCCATTTTCAAACGGAATTTATTTTTTTTTTTATTTACACAAGTGATTATTTATGTGACTAGAATGGAATTAGAGACAGGATAAAAAAAGGCGGTTTAATTTGCAATAAAAATCCCACCGGTTATCAAGATATTTCGTATTTTAATTGTTCACGGTTTAATTAGGAAGAATCTTGGGGTTTAGGCTAGTGAGATCATCACTTGTCGTGGCCGAATGTCCGATGAAAAAAACGAAACACAAACACTCAATTTCCCAGATAAACATCGCGGGTTATCCCTCAGTCTGGCAATCCGATAATTGACAGGTGACCAACATCTCTCTGGAAAAAAAAAAAAAAAGAGATACCCCAGGAGTGATCTCTCACCCTCGCTAAACGGTTTCGAGCTACGGGTAATATCCGAAAAATCATTCATCCAGGTAAAGACTCAGGTATAAAAGCCACCTGTTAAATATACCGGGGGCCCACGTACCCAAAACGTCTGTCTGTGGGACAGAATTTTTCACTCTCTCACACCACCGCAAACTCGTTCTGCTCTGTCCCACCCCAGACTCGTTAATATCTTGGTCTGACTCCCAATATATCAAGACGGCATCTACGGTGACATCTTGATGGTCTCATGAGAGTCAGCAAAACGGCATTTTTACTCGGGACTGTTTAAATGACGATTTTTCATCGCTAGTTCCGTTGTCGTTTCCCTTTGTTGGAATTATTCATCCGTCGGTGACAGGAAAAAGAAAAAAAAAAGTGGGGGAGAAAAAAAAATAGTTCAGCCCCATGAGGCCTAATCGGGCCTTATCTACGATTTTTTGAGAGTGGAAAAATATTTTTTTTGTTATATTTTTTAATCATAATTTTTCATAATTCCAAATTATATTTTTAATTATCATTTTAATTATATTTACCTCAAAGATGATGAAAAATTCAGACGGGAAAATTTTTTTTTACCCCGATGTATTTTCAACCCCCGAATCCAGTGAATTGTGGACGTGCCCTCCCCTCCACCAGCGCAACATCCGTTTGGCTTTTCGTTGCACGCGTTTCTCCAGTCACTGCTCTTGGTGAAAATTAAACAAATATAATCCTGGAGATATTCACTTGGTTCTGACTCACCGACTCGTGAAATACGCGATGTCAGGAATGTCCGGTATCCCATCACCCCGGAAAAACCGAGATTTCCCGTGTTGTACCAAACGAATGTGTGCGCTCGTCGGAGCGTGACTGCCGGACAACGTTGTTTCGGGCTTATCCCAGCATTAATCTACTAGCAGCAGTGAGATGTGCCTCAGCACAGCCTGTCGAAACCGCGAGCTCGTCGTTCGACCGCGTAACGCATATCTTCCTTTTTATTTTAGACGAGAAAAAGAAATAAAAAAAAAAATAACAACAACGCATTCTTCCTCCTCTACCTTTCCCCACCGACTTTACTACTCGTCTCTTCAATTTCTCTTTGGGTTTGTGCTGACCTCGCTCGCCGACCCATGGAGAATTCCAGGGGAGAGTACAAAGTGAAATTGAAGAGGAATTAGAAACCTCCAGGGAAGAGTACACCAAAAAAACAGGTACTTATTCTAGTCGATTGTCGACTTGAGTCAAGTGGGAAGAATCAACTTGAATTGACCCATAAAATTAACTTGAAATTTGATTCAAGGCAATTGTTGATTCCACCGATTTCGATTTGCGGTTTGATCCGAGTGAAAAAGTGATTAATTAAAAAAAAAACAATTTCGAGTGAACATCAATTTAAATCAAGTAGAAAAATTGACCTGAATCCAGCCGCCGAAATTTGAAATTTACCCCGAAATTCTGGGTGCACCCTATACTAGCCCCCCAATAAACAAACTGATGTGTCAAGTCTTTCTGAAAACCCCCGCCTATTTCAACCTCAAAAACCGCCCCCCACTTGTTTACAGCAAACCTATCAGCAGACCAGTAATTTCAAACCTATTGGCATCTAACTACTGCAAAACCCCAAAAAATCCCCCCAAGGAACACGAAAAAGCCCCCAGGAGGCACCTCCGGCGTTGCCAACTTGTACAGCCTACCGGTCTAGCGCGTGTACACGCTGGTAAACTTGCCTGCATGGTCCCGCGGTAATAAGAGAAAATAAGTAAAAACCCCTCGAAGGTATAAGAGCTCGCAGAAGCCCCCTCCCCCTAGGCCCCCCGTCACCCTGGGCCGAAGAGAGGAGAGACACTGGGGCGGTCCCAGCGACGTGAAAGAGAAGGAGAAAGATATGTTTAATGGTATGAGAAAGGTGGAATGAGACAAGGGAGGAGGTGAACCTGTTCCCGAGGGAGTTCCTTGACCCTTGGCGCAGGGGGGGGACAGGAGGGGGGGCTCTTGTACTCTCTTGCCTCCGGGTAAACCTCTTCGGGGCAATCTTCTCCTCCGGCTCCTGCTCCGGAGACCAGTGCTACCTCCAGCCTCCCCTTCTCCTTTCTCTCACCAGCTAAACCCCCACCCACCCCCCTCCGACCCCCTCCCGCCAATCTACTTCTGTGTTTGCTGCTGACTCCTTTGAGAGCTGTGCGAGAGCCACAGGACGCGAACAGAGTAGCGAACGCTTGTAAGATCTTTTCGTTACGATTGCTGGTTAGGGTGGGGATGTGATGATACCATGAGTAGAACGGATTTCACCTGACAATAGGTGCGGGGCGTGGGATATTGGTGGGTCCGGGATTGATCAGAATTGTTCTGGTCAATTGGCTTCTCCTATTTATTGTTAGAATTTTTATGGTCATTGTCAGGGCTGATAATGTGATGAAAATAACGAACAGCTTATAAATCATAATTGTGTAGCCCCCCGGACCCCAAAAATAAAATTAAAAAATGATTTTTAAAAATCAATAAAATAAACAATCCGCACAAAATCCCAACATTCCCAAAAAAAAATTCAGAATCATCACCTCCCCCAATCCCCAAACCGTGAAATCAATCTAATTCAACCCCGCCCCCCTAACCCCCCAACCGTATCATCGCCACAATGATGACTCCCCTAAACGCCGTCGCCCTGAGAGAGCGAAAGCAAAGGCTTCGCCACGGAGACTCGCGAGTCCCAGAGGGCACAGGGGTCCCCGCCACCCCTCGACCCCCCCTCCAGGGTACTGACTCCCTCTCTCCGAGCCGCTCCCCGCTAGCTCAACTCGGTCTCCATCTCTCGAGATGAAACGAGGATGAAAAAAGAAAAAAGCCCATCCCGTTGGGGGACGCGGGGGGGCCAGTGAGCCTCACCGGCGCGAGGAGGGGCGGGCGGGCCGGCAATCGCCGTAGAACGGGCCGCAGTAGAAATAGCGGAGTGGGGGGTGAAGCCTGGAGGCCGGCCTGCGGCTGCGACTCAGTCTCCCCGGAGCAACCGACTCACGTGTACCCAAAGGTGCTGCGTCCCGTGATTATTGTGTGCCTTTTGTATACACCAGTGATCTGCACAATAAATAATAATTAAACAAATCAATTGGATTTATAACAAGTGATATTAAATCAGTGAAATACCGGTGGATTTTTAAAAGTGTTATTTTTAACGAGTGGTGGGGGATTTTTCGAGTGAGTGCACTAGGTACCTGGGGTATCCTTTGCCTCAGTCCCTGCGGCAAGGACGCACACAGGGGGAAAGGGATAACTCCGAGGGTCCAGGTGGGCCATATTTTATTGTTTTCCGTTGTTTATTATTTCACGAGGATTTCTACATCGACATTGTTGTGAGTGGGGAGTGAGGGGATACAGTGAAATCGAGCAACTCCCTGGGGGTGAGGGCTGGGAGATTGTCAGCCAATTTTATTTATTTTTTTTTTATTTACTCATTTGTTTTTTTTTTTGCACGGATATTTGTCGTGGGAGCAGACTAGTTCCTCCATGCATTCACACCAAGTCGCACATCGGATTATTTATTTGTCAGTGAGGGGGGTAATGGAAAATTGAGACGAAATTGAGAGAGTATTGAGATAAAATTGACAGTCCAGTGAGTGCGGACATTCCAGGCTTCACCAATTCCAAACCAAAACATTCGTCATCAAAACAAACTGCTCTACCGGGAAATACTCTCTCAAGGCATAGCCACTGTTTGTGTTTGGGGTTTATAAAACTAGGACAAGTGATATTTCTAGTGAGACCCTTTGTTTTTCTCACGATACAACACAATTGACACTTTTCTTCCCCCAGTTATTTGAGTAACGAGAAAATAAGTGCTCTTAACTCCGACAATAACACGCCGGCACATTGTGTTCTGCTTCTGGTGTGGATTTATTTATTTATTTATCCTGGTGTGGAACCTTTGACGAAGAGCAAATCATCGGAATTTAATGTGAGATAGTGGATTTATAATTCGATTCGAGGAGTTCCGCCACCTGACGGATTTCACGTGCAGTGGCCCGTTATTCTTTTGTTTTTTTGGGGGTGTCAGTGTGGTGACGAGTGGATTTGGATGTGGATTTCCGTGATTTATCCGGGATTTCTGTGTGTGACCAAGGGAGTGAGGGTTAACTCGGTTGACGTGGTGATACTTGGGATGCGGTAGTCCGGGGACTCCGGAGGGAAGCCATGAGGGCGGCCGCCGCCTACGTCCTGTTCTTTGCACACCTCATACAGGTAAGTTCTACATTTAATCATTGATAAATTATTTGGAGGAAGATAATCTCGGAATTTTGCATCGATATCTCTATTTTTACGGGAGGTAGACACATTTCTGTGATAGGATGATGGAAATCAGAAATTGGCAGGAATCAGATTTTTTTATTTTGAAACAGAGGTTAAACCCTAGGGAAATTAATAAGCAGACGAATTCATTTGTTTTTTGTTCATGAATTCTTTTTCTTGATAGTGGGGGCACTTATTTGTCATTAAATTAAATTAACAAAAATCATTTCAATCATCGAGATGTGTAATTACAAGAATTATCGATAAATATGAGAGAATAAAAATCATAACTCATGAATTCGAATTAACAAATATAATTAAAGTTCTCAATGAGTTCTAAAAATGAAGTACCGCCGTGGGAAAACAAAGACCCCAGACAAATGAATTTGTCGTCATATGAAATTAACAGAAATCATAAAGAAATCTTAAAAATACTTTAAGACTGCAGTAAAATGAAAACAAATAATTGAATCTCTCTTAAAATAATGAAATAATAACGTGGGAAACGAAAAATGCGAGACAACTGAATCTGAAAGGAGATTGTCATCAATAATTTAGCTCGGTAAATTTGAAAAATGATATAAAAATGTGGGAAAAATCGTGGAGACCCGTAAATTTCAACCATTCGAATTCCCACCTCGTTTATAAAACATTACATTGATCGATATCACAAGTATCTTCACCCGTTGCTTCTTCCTCGTTACATTATCCAGGCATCACACGGAAACTTTCACCTCCAATTTTTTTTATTTCGCGATGGCTTTTCGCCGAGACCTGTGGGATGCATTGCCAATAAAATTAACGAGCTGTCGACGTTGTCAAACGTACCGGTTGAAAGAAAAAAAAAAGCAGTATATAAGAAGATAAAAGCCATAAAAAAAAGGGTAGAGAAAACCACCTGAAGATCCGGGGAGCACTATTGGGAGCTATTGAGATAATAACGACGTTTTACTCGCCTGTTTATTCTTGGATTATTCCTCATTTTTTATGGCCAAGAGTTTTCTGGTCCTCTGTCTCCTCTTTTCTCGTATTTGGTGGTGAATTTTTTTTTTCTTCTGCTTCTTTTTTTTATTTTCAACTTTTTCTTTGGGGTTATGGGAGTGTAAACGAGTTTCGAGGAACTCTGCGGCTTTTGCTGCCTGTTACACGTTTCAAACTCGTGTGTTATTAAAGCCCTCTTTCAATTACAAGACACCAAGTGGTCGTTTCTAACGGATGAACAATCGGAATTACATGTAGCTCGGGCTTTTATGGATTTGATCGGGTTTTTATTTTTATTTTTTCATTTATTTTTGAATTTTTTTTCCTCGGGTGAACATCGAAAATCGAGTTGGTCGACTGTTTTAATTGCCCTGGGGCTGATTTTTGCGGATTGGGATTTTTACTGTCTCGTGTTTATTTTAATTAGTGTGAATTTATTTATTTTGAAAAACGGCAGTTGGGAGGAAAAAATTGGTCAGATTATTGTTTAAAAAAATTTTAAATCGCTCAAATAATTGTGAATTTTTTATTCAGTAAATAAATGGTGAATACTGAATTAGGTTTTTCAATTACGAGACAATTACGGTTTTTCAATTACGTTTTTCAATTCAATCAAATGAAATTCTCGATTTTTGAATCGCAAAATTGACAAAAATTCATTATTCATTTATTATTATATCGGTTTTTTGATGACGAATCGAGTGAGAATTAGGAAAAGAAGTCAGTGTCTTGTTTACGCAACATTAACATCTCCATTACATAATCCCCGATAAATCGATGGAACAATGCACCTCGAAATAATCCTCCCACCGGAATAAGCGAGTCATTCACGAGATCCTGGGGCTCGTGTCTTCAGGTTTAATTAAGAGGGATTTAACGGTGAATATCAGGGAAAATGTGAGACGTATGGTGGTCTTTTCAGTATTGAATAGTCTCTTCAAAGTCCGCGTGGGTTCCACGGACTTTTCTCAATATACCATCATGAGATATTTCCAAGTCTTCACGGTAGTTCTAAACGATCATTAAGCTTGAAATTACTAAAATTATTAACGCTTCCAATACAAAATCTTCGGCTCGCAGGATCAAATTGATTTCGCATTATTTTTCATCCCATTTCCGGTCGATCGTGAAATTAATATCCCAAATGCAGGGATAATTTTTTTAAACAATAAAGTCATTGAAATGAGAACAAAAAATATCAACGATTTCCCATGAATTCCCTGAAAAAAATAATCAATTATCCATTTCCGGACAAGTCTGTAGACTCGGAGTTGCGAAAGTACAATCGGTCTAG